GGTCCCCAATCCCACACCCTCGACACCCCAATTAAAACAGAACCGTCTGGCCTGTCGGAGGGGTGTCAACTCCGATATTCCATCGTACACAGGATTACTGCAACATTACAGTAATATTACCCACATTACTATGATATTACATCAGTTTTAAGTATCACTCATATTGGCGATATTACGGTAAAATTACAGTACTATTACGTCAATATTACTTATAATACCAATAATAATGTAACACTCCTTCATAAACAGCCAATGGAAGTTGACGACCTCTCGATCGATACCAGGACCTAGCCCGCCACACTACATCACATCATTCGGGTTGGGTTGAGACCACCCCCTGCCCGCAAGGACTGAAGCGCCTGCATCTGCAGTACCCCCTAGCAGTAATGATAGAAACGGGAAAAAGAGGAAACAATAACAACAAAAACCTTGAATCGTAGAAACACCCCCCCCCCCAAAAAAAAAGATAAATAAATGAATAACAATAATCCTGGCCACTATCACACCAAGTCTCTGGTCTAAAGGTGGATACAGAGTTCACTAAACATGAGCGTGATTTTCACGCTAGGCGTGATTTTCACGCTAGGCGTGATTTTCACGCTAGGCGTGATTTTCACGCTAGGCGTGATTTTCACGCCAGGCGTGATGAAAGTCGGTTCCTGATTGGCCGTGTGAAGCTTACGAAGCGTGAAAAATCACGCCCGTGAACTCTGTATCCACACTAACTCTCGAAAACCAAATGTGTACAATTACCCCTTATTTTACAGGATATCGTCGTAGGTATGCAGAAGTTAGTGTGTACTTAAGTATCGCTAAGTAAACGGCTATTCTAGATGACGCACACAATGGAGGCAGTCAGTGAGTAAATACTGTATACTTCGTGTTATAGAGTATTAAAATAATCAAAAGTTTTTATAGCTCTTTTTTGGGGAAGAAAAATGCGTCTAAAAATCGTTTGTGACATCGCTTGTCGCGTGGGTACTCACAACTCCATGACGAGGTACACCTTGTGCTTGTCCTCGAAGGT